AGAACTGAAAAATCTGTTAAAATATATAATTTATTTAATAAAATTAAATATATTCACTTTTAATATAATATTTTAATAATTCTAAAATTAAGATAATGGAAAGTTTTATTATTAAAATTAATAATAAATCTTTCAAATGTTAATTATAATCTATTTTTTTATTTTATATTTAAAAAAATAAATATATGTAAAGAAGAAGTCTATTTTATCTTTTTTATTGCATCATATATTGATTTAAAAAATCCATAATGATTATTAAATCAAACTAATAATTCAATTGTTTAAAGTAAAACACATTCAATACAATTATTAAGATGCATTTAATCAAAGTAATAGAGTAAAATCAATTAAAAACAGATTAATTTTACATTATTAAAAAATAAATAAATTGAAATTATTTTCAAACAATAATAATGTAGATAATTTTCTATTGGAAGAATAGATTCTAATACAAATATATGAATAAATAGTACTTTAAGAATATCTCTTATTTCAAAAATTACAACCTTTATATTATAATCTTATGATAAATAAGAAATATAATAAATGATAATAGAAAATCCTTTAATAATAGTAAATTTTAGAAAATTTCTTAATTATTATTAATTAGTATTTTAAATTATGTGAAATCTCAAATGAAATGTGAATATATAGAAGGTTAAATATTTAGATGAGAAATTATATTTAAAAAGATAGTTATTTAAGTATTGAATATTTTAAAGATAAGAGAATGATCATTATTAAGAAATCAGATAAATTTGATAAATCAGTTATTAAAGTGTTTATATAACAAAAATTTATTAATAAGTTAGATAAAATTGGTAAAATAGTTATAAACTTTCATTAAACACTTTTTGGTTTAATATAAAAACTTAAAATTTTAAAATTTATTAAAAAAATTTTATTAATATATTTATTAATATATAATATGATATATTTTATACTAAATAACTAGTACTTAGTCAGGCCTCCATTTGTATTAAATACTACTTGAATTCACTATGATATACTATCGACTAAATTTTCAATAGTATGTATAAGAATTTTCCACTATGTCTTCTTAATATACACTACCCTGAAGAAAGTTTCTAGACACAGTTTTTTGTTAATAATAACTAAATTTTATTATGATGTTATATAAAATTTTATATATATAAATAGTCTAGGTTTCTATATATCTATTAGATATATTTTGTTATTATTTTAAAATAATTTATTTAATGCATTCATATATAAATTATCTTTTGATTTTGAAATATTATTCTTTTGCTGATTATTTTTATTATACGTTAAAAATAACTTTTTAATATGAGAAAAAATAAAGAATTAATCAAATTTGAACATGATCAAATTATTAGTTTTTATAAAAGTGATCATAGTCAAAGGGATATTATTAAAATTACTAATATTCCTAAATTAATAGTTAGTGATACTATTCTTTATTACAATAATAAAAAAATCACAAAAAGTGCATTTTGAATTAGATGTACAAACAAATAAATGATAAAAATAAATAATATTTAAAGGTATTAGCAGTGTTGAACAACTTCAAAAAAAATTTAAAAAAGTTACTAATAATTAAATATCAACAAAATATTAACTAAAGAATTGCATCAAATTGGAATTTTTTTTTGCATTTTAGAAAAATAATCTTAATAATTGAAATACAACACATTAATCAGTTAAACTGATATTTAAAAAGAAGATATTAAAGAATTTCAAAATAGAAAGAAATAATTTAGAGTGATGAGTCCTACTTTGAAATTATTAAAATGATAGTCTTTGTCATATTTAATATTGTAATGATGGTTTCATAGCTTCAATTAAAATCTTAAAAGGTAAATAAAACTAAGACAAACTATTTAAGAAATCATGAATAAAGATTTATAGTAACATTAAAGATTATTCTTAATATAAAATGATATATAAAATGAATACAAAGATAATTTAAAGATATTTTAGAGATTACACTTCAAAGATTTCAAGTTAATACAGTGAATCAATATAATATCATTTAATAAATTTACTGATAATAATTAAAAGAACATTACAAATAAATGCAAAAGGTCACAGATAAATTATAACAACTTTAAAGATTACAAAGGTAAGTTTTATACTTCTTTATTAAAATATATAAGTTCAATACCTAAAGATTAATATTTCGTCAGTTACTTTTATCAGAAAAGTAATGAGATTCAAAGAAAATATAGAGATATTTATACATGTTAAATAAATAATAAAATAAATTAAACTAAATATATCGAAGGAAATAAAATTGCTATTATGCTAGGTAATAAAGTTATTATATCAATAAAATTGTCAGATTTGCAGACAACTAAATAAACATTTATAATCTATGTGATTATTAAAGGCAATAAAATTGATATTTAAGGATTTACATAATGATTGATAACAATAAAATATACAAAAATGATCTTCTTAAAGATCTACATGGCAATAAAATTGACTTTCTAATCTACCAATTAAATCTATCTAAATTTTTACCTATCACAGTTGCTCTTAGTAAATGATTTAATATTGAAAATTTATCATCTACTGTAAAATATAGGGGTAGTGAAGTAATAATATGAGATTGCTTTTTGGCTAAAGTATTAGGACCTTTAGTTAAAATTGAAGAAACTTTAAATAGATTCAGATATATTGAAATATTAGAAAAAAATTTGTTACCTTAAATAAAATTAAACTTTTATAGTAAAAATTACTTTTTTCAAGATGATAATGTGCCTATTCATACAGCTAAGGATGTAAAAGCATGGGTTTAAAAAAAGACTTAAAATACTATTTAATTGGCCATTCCAATTTCCAGATTTGAATCCAATTGAAAATTTATGGAATAAACTTAATAGGAAAGTTAGAAAATAGTCACAATATCCTAAAATGCATTAAAGTTAAAGATTGTTTTACAAGAAAAATAGGCAAAAATTACAATTACTTTTATAAAAAGTTAATAAAAAGTATGTCAATTAGAATAGAAGAATGTATTTACAGAAATAGATGGTTTACAAGTTATTAAATATAATAAAAGTAAATTTTTTTTGTGTTTAAATACTTTCTTTAGAGTAATATATTAATCAAGATCAGCAAGGTTAGAAGGCATTTTTTTTTTTCATGAATGCTTTTCTTAACATTAACTCACAAATTCTCAATTGGATTAAGATCTAAGCTTTGAGTGAGCCATAAAAATATACATAGATTGTTTTTTATATGAAACTTTTTTGCAAGTTTCATTTTATGAAGATAAGCATTATCTTTCTAGAATATATCATCACTATTTGGAAATATATGTTGCATAGTTAAAATAGTATGCTTTTGAAAAATGAAAATATGTATAGTACCAGTTGTTATTTCAAATAATGGAACAATAGATCCTAAGCCTTGTCTTGAAAAGTATCCCCAAAATATTTGGCTAGGGCTTTATTTTATTATAGTACAAACACAAGAAATGTCCTACTTTTCTTGAGATTCCTATCACATACTACTTTGGCTTTATTAAAATTGAAAAAAGGTTGATTTGTCATTTTACATAACTTTTAACTAATCTTCTTTTGTTTAGCTTTGATAATCTAAATATCATATAAGATGTGCCTCCATATATGCTAGTTAGATTAGAGGCTTTCTTTGAGCAAAACAATTGTTGCATGAAATATCTAGCCAATGATATGAGTTGAAACATCTTGGCCAGTTTTTTTTTCCAAAGTTGTTTAACTTTGCAGTGCATAAATGATGATTTTTCTTTTATTATTAGTTACAAGTCACTTAAGCTGGCTTTATTGTGAAGGTACAATAAGGGCGGTCGACTAGAGCGAGGTTTTGAATTAGTAGTTCTGGTGGCATCAATTCTTTGTAAAGTGTCAAATACTATTGACACTTCACAATTGACAGTCTTAACAATAGTTCAATAACTATCACTATGATGATGATAAAAAATATAACACCTCGTTATTCTGCTATTAATTTTTGAGTCATTTTTGTTATTTTTAGAAGATTAATTTTTTTTTATTCAAATTCAAAATAAACAAATCAAATCTGCATTTATTAGGTTTGATTTATATAAACAAAGTCCAGAACATCATGTAACCACAGTATTTATTAATTTATATGATGTTATGTATCTAAAAAATTTTATTCAGAGACTTTTGCAGAGTTCTATATTTTAGTGTTATGACAATTAAGGAGTTGGGTAAAGTTGGTAAAATAGTTATTCAAGTACTTTGATAATAAAGTTTCATTAGAGAGTTGGATAAAGTTGGTAGGATAATTATTTTAGTATAAATAAAATAATAAAGACCGAATCTAGTATTTCAAATTTTAGAAAATTTCTTCGAAGTACAATTTTCAACGTGAAGATGCTACGAATTTTGAAACTATGTATTGCAAGACTTGTATAATATTATTAGTAATTTTTATTTAATATATTTTCACATTGAAAAGATTGCATATAAAAAAATTAGTTCCCGTATGGAAACTTTAATATTTATCAAATAATTAATTTTTTGCAAAATTGTAAATCCCTTATTGGCGGTAAAAGTAAATATTTGCAACTATGTATGGTTTTAGAAAAAATACTATCAAAATTAATCATTTATTTGTTGACTTTTGTAGGTAATTCTTGCGTTTGTAACTATATACGTTTAATTTTTTGGTAGTTGCTACGATTCCTTTACCACGACATGATAAAAATACATTAATACTTGTTTTCGCCCAATGCCCCCATGACCTCGTCAAAAACAAATGATTCTGAATCAAATTTATAGAAAATTTTAAATCAATAGTAGAGTCAGGAAATTATAAGGAAAAGCGGCTTAGACCATATATTTTATTGGATAATGATATAAGACAAATACATGTTGAAGAAGAAATAAAAAAAACCTATCTAATGATAAACTAGCAGAAACACTTCGAACATAGGACAAGTGAACCTATAATTTCACACTTGAATTGCAATAGTATGAGATGATTTAAGTTGTACAAAGACTTTTATGATCATGTACGTTCATCTTTTTTTCTAAATCCAATATTAAAGATATTTACTAATTTTGGTGGAGAATAGGTATTCTACATAACTAGAGCGAGACGAACTAGGAGAAGTATAGGAAGTTATAACCTCCAATCGAGAGGATATTTCTTTCTATATTTTTTGGTCCGTTCAGGGAGTGATTCACCTACAACAGATATATTAACTAAGGCTATTAGTGTTATATATATATAGATTTCGAAAAATAAAAGGAAATTATAAAAAAAATAAAAATAACAATAAAGGAAGGGAGCGTAATCCTAGAAGAGCCGAAGCCGTACAACGAATGTAGTTAGTAAAATTAATCGTCAGAATGAAGGCGATACACATTGATTTAAAAACATCCATTATCTCTTGATAATAATCAGCGTTATTGTTGTTTTTCAACTTCTAAATTGTCAACACGGACGTAGTACGACTTTCGTTAAGCTTTACCTGAAAAATTCATATAAAAGTACATAAATACATATAGAAGAAGAAATAAAAGAGAAACTATCTAAAACTAAACTAGCAGAAGCACTTCGACGCAAATTGAACATAGGACAAGCGAACCCATATTTTCTACTTGCTTTGCCAATAGTACGAAACGAGAGGATACTTCTTTCTATATTTTGGTCCTTAAGTTCAGGGAGTGAATTCACTGACCAGCAGATGTATCACTTTAACTAAGGCCATTTGTGTTTATATTTTATTTTATTTTTTTATTTTTATTTTTTTTTTTTAAATGAAAAAAAGAAAATGAAATTATAAAAAAAAACAAAATGAAGGGAGCGTAGTCCTAGACTACCTTTTGATAAGTGTGTCGGCATTGTCGCTGTGTTTCACCTTCTAAATTGTCAGTAAGTTCTTGCAAAATAACACTCGTGCTTTATGTTGAAGAAAAGATTAAAATGTTATATTTGAAAATTTGCGATATACAGTATATTATATTAAATGTTTCAAAACAAAAATGATTGGCTAAAAATGTGACACAGCATTCGTAATCCTTATTGTGATCGGCTCATGTGCCACCGAATTTTCCTTTAAAAAATCGAGAGAAATGATTTTGTAATTGCAAACAACAATTTGGAAATCACTTGAATTATTGAGAATCAATTATTCCAACCGATAAGCTTTTTCATAAACTTAGTGATTGATTGAACCCCCTTTAACAAAATATATTTAAACAAAATTTACGTCCAACTCGATTAATTAAAGTTTATACAACATCTATGAAACTTCGAATGTAAAAACAGGTTTTCAATTTTTTGCGCGACACAACGATTCCGTATGAAATATTTTGTCAAAATAACCGTATAATAAAGTGATAAAACTTACGCCCTATGGTTATTAATGAATTCCTTTTGTGTTAAAGATTTTACTAATTAAAAAGTGTAAATTGAAGACATTTAATAAAGGTTGGAACTTATCTCTCTCTTTTTTTTTTTTTTTTTTTTTTCAAATCGCTTACTATCTTAATGCTCAAAAAAATAAAACTTAAAACTTATTAAGTTTTGATCAAAAAAATCGTAAAAAAAATTTACTAATAAACAAATAATTTAAAATGTGTCAACAAAGGATGTAAGTCTCCACTAATTTATCATTAAAACATCTTTGCAAATGATCTTTAAATAGCTTTATGATGTATCGCAAAACCTAAAGCAATGGGAATAACGAGCTAGAGCTCTTTATCGCCATTGTATGCTTAATTTTCTTTGTGCATCGATCGTATTATGTGAGAAACTACGGACAACCGCTTTATTAAATTTATTTCACTAAGAGCTTTTAATCATATATATTCGTGTTATTGTTCATGTACAGCAACATAATAAAAAATTTTTTAATAACAGCGGCAATTCAGCATGTTCATTAAATTTCAATGTTATAATATACTTCGTTCAATAAGGTTAGTTAATTATACATACAGTGCCCGGCAACAAATCACCGGTCACCTTATGATAGGAAATGATCATCCAAAAAGTTTCGTTTAATAAAATTATAAAGTTTTCTTTTTATATAACAAATGTTCATAATTTATACTTTTTTATAAAAATTTAATCATTATAAATATAATGGTTTTATCCAAATTTTCGCGTCTTTAATGCAAAATTTCAGCTATAATTAGACATCGAATTTTTAAGTTTTAATTTATATTGGTTGATTAAAAGCCATAATTATTTAAATTTTCAGGTCGATTGCATTAATACTCGAAGAGTTCGACTTGTTCAAGAAAATATTTACTAATTTTATACATTATTTATTCAAATAACAAATAAAATATATTTTTTTTTATTTAAGAAAGACGAACTCCTTGTATATTAATTCAATCGATCTGAAAATTTAGAAAATTAGTATCTACAAGTTTAAGGTAAATAAAATAAAATATAATTAAATAAATATTCATCTAACATTCTTCTTTTACATTCATAATTTCGGTATAATATTTCATGTCAATGTGAATTTAGGAACAATATAAGGAGTTTTTCAAAAATCCGATTGCTTTTAATCGATTGAGTGATCATTTAAAAGTTTATCGTGCAAATTGGAAAAATATAAAACAACCTTTTGCATTAAAATCGTTTAATGACTTTAACGATGTCTCTATTAAAGAACTTGTTCGTGAGGTAAAGGCAAATACAATATATAATTCTGTCTATTTCTGTCTATTTAATATAAAATCATCAAATTAAAAATTTTTTGTAATAATTTAGCTCGAACTTCATTGTGAAGTTGATTTTCATGATAATATTATTCATTTTCATGGGATAACTTCAAAACAAAGTATTTAATGTTCATTTTTTTTTAATGTCTATTTTGTCTTATTTTTTAACTCATTTATATTTTTTAAAAAAACTAGAAAATCAAAATGATCAATTGAAAAAGTATTTGTTAGTAATGGAATATGCCGATGGCGGTACACTTAG